AATAACCAATGAAATTTTCCAATAAAAGCAATATTTTTGAAATATTCGTTGGAATTTTCTGTAGATTACCTTACCGTTGATTTTTTCATTGCAATATAGCAATTTGTTGTAATCCTCTTAAACATTAATTTTTTATGTAGTATTTATTGATTAAATGTGTTTACAATTTTTCTATTAAAAATATATTAAACACATGAACTTTTTAGTTCCTATATTTTTTTTTTCAGAAATTACTCATTATTTTATCTCAAGATTACCTATTGATTTACCAATTGAGTTACATTTCTTACATATTAAATATTTAAAAATTAGAATATTTCCTATTTTATATGTTCAATATGATATTTATATATTATATTAAAAAAAACTAATATAGCAAATAAAAAGTTATTTAAAATTAGAATAATAAAGATTTTTTTTTTGGTAACTTACATGAATAAATGTACAAATAACTATTGTCTATCACATAAAATTTACACATAAAATTATAAGGAGAAAAAACTAACAAGCGTTTAACAACTCAGCTTGTTTACGTCGATAAGTATATTTATAAAAGGTTTATATTTCTTCTATTAACTATAACATTTTTATTTATTACTTTGTTTCATATTTATTAGTACGTGTCACAACTTATTTATTTTTAAAATTGTTTATCATATTTAATATTTTTTTAAACTTTTATCTTGTTCTTTTACATGTTCTTAACTCTAGATTTGTCAAAAAATACATGATATAAAGTCTAGAATTGTTTCGACCATCTGTCTCATTATATATCAATTATTTGTATATCTTATATTATATTATATTTAATACAATTTTTTTTAATTTATACTACAATTAAATATTTATAATTCATAAATTCATCAATAATATTGTCGAGTCAACTTTTGTTCATAAAAATTTAAAAAACATAATTATTTTCAATTATATGCTTATGTCAAATTGAGAAAAGTTTTTTTTTTTAATTGTAACTGTATTGATGTGTAACATATATTATAGATGAGAAAGATGACAAATTATGAAAAATATAATTTATAAATTATAATGACATTATGTTATTTTACTGGTATACCTTTTCTATTAACTAAATAATGCCTCAAGTATGAAATTATTTTGTATCCACCACTGCAGGTAGATTTCGAATAGAACTTCCATTGAAATTCTTACATTTCCAGTGACATTTTTTCCAACTGTTGAAAAATGACCCAAAAAAAATTCAAACGGAAATTCACACAATAACAAATAATGATAATTGGATTAATTAAATCCACTAAAATTTGAATATAATGTAATTTAATCTCGGAATATTCAATGGAATTTTACAATGACAGCTATACGAATAAAATATCATTTGGGATTTTCAGTGGATGTCTTACCGTTGGATTTTTCATTGCAATGTACCATTTTTTTATTCCTTTATAAATTATATTTTTTATGTAGAAGTTTTTGTTATTAATTAGATGTATTTATAATTTTTCTATTAAAAATATATTAAACACATGAACTTTTTAATCCATATATTTTTTAGAAATCGCTCATTATTTTATCGCAAGACTACCTATTAACTTATCAATTGAGTTACATTTCTTGCACATTAAATATCAAATAATAAAAAGTATTATTGTATATATATAATATGGTATTTATATTTTATATTAAAAAAATAATAGCAAATAAAACGTTATTTAAAATCAAAATTATCAAAGCTTTATTTAAAAAAATAAAAATAAATTTCTAACCTACATGGATAAAAGTATAAATAACTATTGTCTATCGTCTAAAATTTATACATTGAACTAATAAGCGCAAAAATTTAACATGTGGTGAACATTTGGCTCATTTACATCGATAAATACAAACTTAAAAGTTCTACAAATACTTTTACTAATTATAATATTTTTATTTATTATTTTTTTTCATAGTTATTAGTAAGTATTACAACTTAGTTATAAATTTAATATTATTTATTAGATTTATTGTTTTTTTAACTTTAAACTGTTCTTTCAAATGTATTTTAATATATATATGTGTGTGTGTGTGTATAACTTTTAGGTTTTTTAAAAAATACATAAAATTAAAGTATAACACTTTTTTGAATCATATGTCTTATCTATATCAATTAATTTTATATCTTTATATTATATTATATATAATTATAATCTTCTCATTTATACTCAAATATATAAATTTTTTATTTCGTACATTTTTTTCTTAAATACCATTTTATTATAATAACACATATTAATAGATAGATGAGTAATGATAATATATGAATATAATTATTTGATTAAAATAATTAATTTTCAACATGTAAATCATATTATGATTCTCGAGATATTTTTAATTTATTTGTAGATAATGATATGGTTAAAATTAATCCATGTTGCTAAAGTGGTATCTCATTTAACGTGAAAACAAATAAATTAAGTTTTAGTATTATACAATTTCATAAAATTATTCTGGTCTTATGTATCGAAGAAATTGAATTGATTAGAAGTTTAGGTTGCAAAACAATCATTCAACAATTAATCTCGCATACTATTACACATTTTGTATAGGTTATTTTGAAAATAATGTTTCTATACTTTATGGTCGTTATGAGAAAAAAACAATATCGATTTCTAATTTTATAAGTGTTTATTATGTTTTTTTTGTTGGATCAATTTTAATTTCTTTAAGGAACTTTTATATATTAGAGTTATGAAATGTGATTACAATATTACCATTAAAATTATATCAAAAATAATGACGTTTTTCAAAACAACAATTCTATATCTTATCAAACAGTTTTAGAGATATGTGGAAGAAAACAAATTCGTGAGAAATAATGGTGGCAAACCAACATACTGTAGTTGATTTTAGGAGTGTGGAATGATTTGTTCAAGTATTTGTATTTAAATAATTAAATATTAGTTATAATTAAAAATATAAGATATGATGGACATTAATATATTACTAATTTGCCATTTAAAACATGTCAAAGTAAGGGCTTATTAGGTAATTTATTTTAATATTTAAAAATATAAAATATGATGTGTATCAGTGTATTACTAATTTGCCATTAAAAATATGCCAAAGTAAGAGTTTTTTAAGTAGTTCATATTTTTACAAAAACACTCGTACTTTTAGAGTAATATAGATATAGATGAATGTTAAAAATAAAAAATATGGCATATCTCTAAAAAAAAGTATATCCATGAACGACTTGCAGAACGTTTAGGGACGGCCGTTCAAGGACACAATTAGTGCTGGGTGAGCACCGCTCGCTGACGTCGTTAGTGTCAGGTGGACGCCGTTTGCCGACGAGTGGACGCCGAACTCCGACATCGTCAAAGGTCGAGCCAAGGTTTGAAGTCGAGCCAGAGTTGGATCTGGCCAAGATGAGGATAACGCACACCGTCGCTCGTCTTTCGCCGACAAGTGGATGCCGATTGCCGGCATCGTTAAGGTCGAGCTGAGGTTCGAAGTCGAGCCAGAATCAGATCTAGCCAGTATGATGATAGTGCACACTGTCGCTCCGCGCTCCAGCCCAACCCACTGGATTATGTTGTCCAGAACCTGACGATCGTTTGGTTTGTGGGCCCGTAGTTTGCTGCTCTCACTGGCCTCGTTTGCGACTACATAATATGCATAAATGTTTTGCATACTTGTTGACTATGCCTCCGATTTAGATATTGATACGTAAAATCTGCGAAAAAATGTCACATAATGATAAACATGCAACTACTAATTTGGATATGCGATAATTATATATGTAAAATAATTTTGCATATCAAGAATTATGTAGTGAATTAGATATCTGATTAATAAATATGCGAATGTATTTCGCATAATTATTAACGTCCAATTTGAATATGCGTTGGTATATAAGCCGCAATATCGCACATAATTGTTAATTATGCAGTTCTTGGATTACGATTTGTACATCGCATATCATTTCGTGAGTTTTTTTATGGGAAAGTGTGTAAAACAAGACCACGTATACATTGGGGTGTAAAAGAAATTGTGTCTCCAATTTTTCCACTTCATCATAAAAGAGTGGTGACAGTATGAAATGGAGGAAGAATTATTTTTCTTTAATATCTTACTTTCTAAAATGTTCATGTGGGTAGCTCTTAATCATTTCAAAAGCCTATATCGAAGATGCTATTCTATAATCAATTTGCAAATTCATATTCTGTCACATTTAAGTTGGATGCAGTCGCGCGATCATGAAGATGAAAATTTTCAGAGGTACGACCAACCAAAGTCAGATATCTTCTTCTTTCAGAATAAGGTTGAACCGATTATTACAACCACCAGGAAGAATTCTTAACATGAGGAAATGAAATTTATGCTCTATATATAGTGAACTGGTAATTTGAAGTGTTTGCATGAAGAGTTAATATGCAACAATTATTTCACCACCACTTGGTTCTGCAATTAGTTTGAGTTGGCTTTACAAACACTTCCGTTTGTACATTTACTTTAAAGAAGTAAGTTACACTGAAAGTTAACAAAAAATTTGACACCCCAACCTCAGAATCACAACCTATAACATACATCTGACAGATTAACAAAGCTCAAAATGTGAAATTAAAGAAAGAAAGAAAAGATAATAATTAAAGAAATTTAGAACATTAAATTTTCAAATACCTTACTGGCCCAATATGTACTCGCCCCTCACGAACTCTACCAATAGTCCCTGCAAGAACACGACCCGCCATTAAAGTGGTGGAACCTGTTTGTGTCCCTCAGCACGATTTCTCTCCCCACCAACTTGGACACAAACTTGAACGCCGTGTGGCAGTCCCCACACACCCTGATGTTCTTCTTTATCGAGATGGGCAGTCCTGCTGGCAATCTTAAAAGCGCGAACGCACGCACCAGCATCTCACTGTGGCACTGCAGCCTCTCTTCCCTCTCCCTCTCATCCACATACCACAGCACATGCCTCGTGTCAGGCACGTACCTGATTTTCATAATCCCATCTAGGCATCTCTCATCTTCTCCCACATAACCTAAATCTCCTCCCTCTCAGGATTTGTATCATCGTTCGCCAAAAACACATGAACAGCTCCCCCAATCTCGACCCAACTGCACGCGGGCTCCTTCTTCACCCCACACCTATCCATCGCCTTTCTCACTCGTGCAGCATCAGTCAACTGGCCAGTGGAGGCATAGATGTTGGAGAGCAGCACGTGGGGCCCAGAGTCGAGAGGGTCGAGCTTGAAAACCTGCTCGACGGCGTAAGTGCCGAGATTCGTGTTTTTGTACATCCTGTAGGCCCCGAGCAGGGCTTTCCAAACAGCTGCTGTGGGCTTCACTCGCATTTCTTGAATGAAGCACAGCGCACGGTCGAGTTGCCCGGCCCGGCCCAATAAGTCGATGGCACTAACACAAAGTGTGATGTCGGGCTCTCGTTCGTACTTCCGCATCAGGTTAAAGTAGTCTAACCCTTTGTCCACAAGCCCCGCGTGGCTGCAGGCAGTGAGCACACAAATGAAAGTGATCGTGTTCGGCTGAAATCCGGCCCCACGCATCTCTTCAAAGAGAGATACGGCTTTTTCACCGAAACCGTGCTGTGCGTAAGCTGTGAGCATTGAGTTCCACGAGATAACGTCCTTTTTCACCAACCTGCCGAAAACCCGTTTGGCATCCTTGATGCTTCCGGCCTTTCCGTACATGTCGAGGAGCGTGTTGCCAACAAAGGCAACGAGCTCTGTCCCTGATTTCACCATGTCCGCGTGGACCCACCTACCCTACTCCATAGCCCCGCTGCCTGGCTGCGAAAATGCTCGAGTATGTGAAATGGGTCAGCCCATACCCACCCCTTTTCATCTCTGAGAACAAGGACACTGCATGGTGTCCCTCTCCTTCCCGGGCGTACGCTGCAATTAATGAATTCCAAGAAACAGCCCGTTGAACACGAGCTTCGCGTCTGCCATTCTCTTACATCTGGTGTACATGTCCACCAAAGCACTCCCAACATACAAATTCTCCCCGAACCCACTCCTTAAGCAAGACCTGTGAATGCCTCCACCGATCACATAACTCTGTAGACCACCTGCAGATTTAAGAGCGCTACTGAAAGTAAACTCGTTCGGCCATAATCCAATTCTCAACATGTCTAAAGACAGACATAAGGCCTCCTTGAACTCGTTATGGTGGGAGTACCCAGTGACCAGCATGGTATAGGAGACCATGTCCCGTTCGATCATTTCATCAAACACTTGCGTGCCATCTTCATGTCCCCACACTTGGCATACATATTGATGGCCGTGTTTTGAATAGCGGCATAGTGGCGGTACCTCGAGGCACTAAAATGGGTGTAAACCATTTTGCCCAGCCTTAGCTTTCCCTGATCGGTGCATCTCTTGAGGAGATCGGCGTACAACCTCGCGTCTGGTTCCATTAAGCCTTGGTTGATGAGGTCGAGAACCAGGAGATTATTTCCTCCGGGGCCCATTTTGAAGAAGTGGTAATGGTGCTTTATAGCACTTTAACAAAACAAAAAATGAAATCTAGCCACTTTTTTAAAAAAAAGGGAAATATAACCATTTTGACTTGTAAAAATACTTAATTGCCCTTGTATACCTTTTTCATTTTTTTCCTTTTCTATTTTCAATTTATTCGTTTTCATCCGCTTCTTTTTCCCTTTTTCTCTCCCATTTACCAAAATTTGAAAAAGAAATTATAGAGCAAAAGCCCTAGCGGTTTCTTAAGAAATCCCAGCATCTTCCTCACGAAGCTAGACTCCCGCAGCCATGAAAGCAGCAATCCGCGACCTTGAGCCCCAATTTTCCGGCGAGAAGGTGAACGGCGACCCTCGATCCGCGACCTTGAATCGCGACCTTGTCCAGCAAATCGAAAAAGTTCCCCAGAGCCGATGACCTAAACCAGATACGAGCCGCCGCAACCCAAGCTCTAATTTCCGGCGACGAGGAGCAGCCGAGAGTCATCATACTGCAGACGAGTCCGAACCGAGCTCATCCGCGACTGACGCAGGCCCGAAGTAGTCGTGTCCAGCGGTCGAGAGCATTGCCGGAAGGCTGAGAGCAGGCGGGGCATGGTCGAGAGCGGCAGCAGGCTGGGCCGTTTCTGAGAGCAAGCCGGGAGTATCACCACAAAAAAAACAAGAAGCCGAGAGCAAAGGATCGAGACCCGAGCCTGGTTTCTTTTCCATTTTAAATCCTGATCGAGGTATAATGGCTGAGCTCCTTTGTACTTTTGTTGGCCGAATTCATATGCTTTTATGTGCTTAGTTTGGTTTAAAAGAGTCATGTTTATATTCGGTTAAACTGTGAGATAAGTGAGCAGGACATGGGGTGATTGAGTTTTGTGCTTTCTTGTTTTGCTTGTGTTGTTGGGGTTGTTAGCATGTTAATTTGGTGCTGGGAGTTGTGTTTTTAGCATGCCATGAATGTTGAGAAGTTTGAAAGTGAAAGCATGAATTTTGGTACCTTTTTGTCTTGATTTGTCAGTTGTTTGAGCCTCAGTTTTTGTTGTGTTGGCCTCGCTGAAAATGAGCTATTAATATGTTAGTTTCAGCCACGATATGTATATTTCATGCCTTAGAATCAAGAGGAGAAAGTTTAAGCAAGTATGTTATGTCATTTTTTCTCTGTTTGGGCTTTGTGTTTGTTGAGCCTTATTGTGGGTCTAGCATGTTATTTATGTACTAACAATGTATCAGTTTCAGAGTTGTGCGCTCAACCATTACAATAAGACCTCACAAGAAGCTTGACAAGAAAATAGAGAGAGCTTTATTACATTAGTGTATTCTGAGAAGCTTGACAAGAAAATAGAGAACTTTTTTCATTAATGTAATGGTAGAGCCTTATTGTGAGGTCTCGCCATATTATTTTTGTTGTTATTCGTGTTTTCTCCAATGGTCTTAATCCAACTTAATGAAAAAACACTCATTAAGTTCTGTACTTTTTCCTATTGTTGTATGTCAGAAAGAAGTTTTGATGATGCTACCATTTGATGGAGCTACTTCTGTCTTTGAGTATTCTATGCACTATCCAAGTTGGAATTGGAGATCAATTTGTGCAAGGCGATATCAAGAAATGGTTCTGCTGAGAGTTAAGCAATAACGAAGCAAATACATTTGGGCAAGAAAGGATTACCAACTCTACAGCCCTCGACTAGCATCAACTAGCTCAAAATGTTTGGTTTTCGTTCTCTGTCCATTGTTCAGGTACACCCTTAAAACACCGAGCATCTAGAAACATAATTTCAACTTGGGACATGCATTATTTTCAATGATAATTTGATCCTTTATACGAATGCTAATTTTTAGATTATAATGTACTCAGGCAATCGAGGCACTCGATCCAAATCATGAGTGCACGGAGTATTGGAAAAAACAAGCTCCTGAACAAGAAATCGATGTCAAGTTCAGNNGNT